GGCTGCTGTCACTCGAAACCAGAAGAGTCCTGAGCCACCCCTGTCTTGAGCCACACAGCTGGATCTTCAGGCTGCCAGCCGCACTCTTTGCCTGGCACTCCATACGCATCACTGTCCCTCCCTGACTGTCTCAGACTTCACATGTGACCCCGCTCCCGCTGTTCTCAATTTCCTAAACCCACTTCTGCTTCCTCAGCTGTCACTTTCTTCAGGGGGAAAGTTGAACTTCCCCAACTCTCCCACTCTCTGGCCCCAGTTTCCTCCAGACCTGCTTCCCCATCTGTCCTCCTCCTCCCAGGCTCACAGGAAGACATGTCCCTCCTCTGGCCCTTGCTAGGCCGATCGAGAGGGCTGGAGCTGGAGTGCTGGAAGCCAGTGGTTCCCAAACCGGCCTACATATCAGAATCATCCGGAAACCGCTGTCTTCTTGGTCACTGGTCTCAGGGTTCCCTGCAACGGGATGCCGGACGCTGCCCGGCCTGTCGCTTGTATAAGGACCTGCACGGAGCCTGTTTTAACTCCCTCCCATTTTCAGCTCAGCTCCTTGCGATCTGGGCTTCTTTGGGGCCCAGTCTTCTTCCCTTGGGTGAGGGGACTTCCCAGACTCCAAACAAGACCACCCAGGCTGTGAAGCCACGGTCCTCTCTTCCTCCAGCCTCTCCCCCATCCCCACCTCCTCCCACCCCTTAAAGGGAGGGCCCATCCCCCCTCTTCATTGTCTGCCCCTGTTTCCCTGGCCCCAGACCCAGTCCTGCCCCATCTCTGCCCAGCACGGGTTTATGCAGTGGCCCGACTGACCTCCCACGCTGCCCTGCACAGCGGGCTGGGTTCTCTGCAGGGGACACTGGTGGCCTCCAAGGGCCAGAGGCAGTTGAGAACGGTGGGTCTCATGCCCACACTTCCTGGTCAGGTGATATGTTACAATGCAGTCAGGTCTCTACCTCACTGAAAACAGTCTTTAGCACAAAGGCAGACACTCCACCTCTGCCACGAGCCAGGGGACATCCCACCCTGCTCTTTCAGGAAATCTCTCAGGTTGAATTCAAGGACCTGATAACGATGGACTCCAGTCAGATTATCATGTGGCCCAGGACCACTAGAGAAAGTTCTAGACCCAGGGCTGCCCTGCTGGGTTGCTGGGCTCATCCAGGCACAGGTAGAGGGGACTTGCAGTGTTTCTCGCCAGGCGCCCATCTCCAGCGACACTCCTTTCACCAAAGAACAAGGACCCTCGGACCCTTCAGTGCTAATTCACAGACCCTCTGCTGCAAGTGTAGACAGCCACATTTGAAGCACTGGCTGTGGCCGCCCCTGGGGTGTAGACTTCTGCTCTGGGTCTTTCAAACACTAAAATTGCGGGCATATACATACATAATGAGTGAGATGTGCACCATCTGGGGGATGGTCATGCTGGAGACTCAGACTTGTGGGGGGGGGGAAATGGGCATTTATTGAAACCTTAAAATCTGTACCCCCATAATATGCTGAAATAAAAAAAAAAAAACACTAAAATTAATGTCCACATTCAGAGCGAGCGCCACACGCTGGTGCTGAAGTGATTGCAGCCAGCAGGGCTTTCTGCCCCTGAGGAGGGCCGCCTCTGGGCAAGGTGCTCAGCACTTCCTCATAGTCTGCTTTTAGGTGTTCCAAGTCAGCCCCACCTTGTCCGAGCGCATCCTCTGGCTGGTCAGAGGACTCCCGGCCCCACCCCCACCCAGGTCTCTGCAGGCCCTCGCCCCTGGGTTAAAGCCTGGGCCATAATGTTACCAGCAGGGTTGACGGGGTGGGCAGGCACAAGGTGGGGGAAGGGGCACTTCTTGGGGTCCTCCTGCATCCCGGCTCACTGAGGTCCCCCTTCCAGGGCAGCAACCTGAGGTGCTCAGAGAGTGACCTTGTGGCAAGGACACAGAACCCCCCTCCTCTTGCAGCCTACCCAGCTAGCTCATCCATCCCTGCCCCCTGCACCCTCTGGTCTGTGATTTCCTGATCTGTAACTTCCATCCACTCTGGCTCTGCCAGCAGCGAGGGCGTGGGGCGCAGGCGCAGTGGGGCGCAGGCGCAGATCCCGGGCAGACCGGCCTGCCCTCCTGCCGGTCTTGCTCAGCCTCCCTGGCTGTGTCTGGAGACTACCCCCAGGAATCTGCCGGGGCTCTGCCCCCAGGGGCTGGAACAGGTGGCGCCAGCTGGATGGGGTGGCGGTGGGGGCCACTGTGCCAGCCAGAGCCTGGCCAGGCTCCCCCACTGCCCCCCCACCACCCACCGCCGGGGACTCGTGTTGTCACTCATTTTCCCATTCTGAGTGCTACCTCGGCACAGATGAGTTGATTCCATGATGACAACCTGTTCATCTCAATTGACCAGATTCCACTGGCAAACGCTCCCCTGACCTTGGCAGCTCCCTCCCATTGCCACCTCCCCGAGCACTTGTCTTTCTGGGGCCTTGTGGGGTGGGACAAATACCCATGACAGTATTACCAGCAGCCGGCCACGGTGCTCACCGCGAAGGGGACACTGGTGTGTGCACTTCGCATGCGTCATCTCCCATAACCCTGTGCTGGCAGGAAACTGAGATCTCAAGGGGATAAGCCACCTGCCCCTAGTGACATCCAGGAAATGCAGGGCCCTGACCCAACCTCCACCCTTTCAGTCCCTAAACACAGGCTCAGAACCCCTTCCCAGGGACAGCCGTGTCTGCCCCTCACCACCCACCTGAGGAGACCCGTAGCACTTAGGTGAGAGGTCAGTGGTGAGGCCAGGTGGGCTCTTCTCAGCAGGGCCCCTTGGGCAGAGCCAGGGGAGCCTCCACAGCCCTCAAGGCCACACTTGCAGAAGCCAGGGCAGTGGAGCCAAGCACGATGCTCTGTGGGGAGGAGTGTCCAAGGCCCAGCCGGGATGGAGCAGGCAGTGGGGGCCGCAGGGGCTGTGGGTGGCCCTCAGTGGCAGGCAGCCAGGCCAGCAGGGGCTTTGGGCTGCAGGTCAGGCCGACTGCCTGCTCTGAGAGGTCAGGAGGGCCACTGCAAAGGGCTCTGGCCCCAGGGTTCTCCTCAGGAATTCTGCCTGGAAGGCCCTTCACATTCCCCATCAATGCTTACAACATCCCAGAACATTCTATTGCACCTTAAGTTTTCTTCCTCCTCCAAGGGGCCCTTGCTTCCTGCTTCCTGCTCAGGAGCTTAGGACCCAGCTGGGGCCTCCTGCCCTCCCTGTGTGCCCGTCACTGCTGTTGCTGGAAAAAGGGCTTGAGGAAGGGCGCAGGGCCCACCTCCGCACCAGGCAGGCCTCCTGGATCTGCTGGCCAGCCACGGGCTAGTTGCACACTGAGCTCACTGGGCTGTCCCCTCTGCACCTCCATTTCCTCTTTTGTAAGGTAGGAATAATAATAGTCTGTGCCTCTAGGATTAAGTGAGTCATTCACGCATGGACCTAAAGTCAGGCTCGGCATATTGTAACCATTCAGTGAATGGCTAGCTGTTATGATTGGACCGTAACGATGCTTCCGTATCAACTCTATGGGCATTTTTTAGGTCCTACTGTATGTTCAACACTGAGACTTCAATGCGGAACAAGACCAGAACAAACAACCTGAGTGACAGCAGGACTGGGGAAGCCTTTTACATGTTGGAGAGACTCACAGTCCCCTGGATGGGGCCCTGTTTGAGTCAAGGATGCCCCTCCATGCCCATGTCCAGGTGCAGCCCACTCCCCACAGTAGGTGGACCTGGCATACACAAGCAGATTAATAAAGGCTTGGGGACAAAAGAGGCTTTGAATGAAATATTTTTTTTTTTTTTTGAGACAGAGTCTCACTTGTTGACCAGGCTAGAGTGAGTGCCATGGTGTCAGCCTAGCTCACAGCAACCTCAAACTCCTGGGCTCAAGCAATCCTTCTGCCTCAGCCTCCCGAGTAGCTGGGACTACAGGCATGCGCCACCATGCCCGGCTAATTTTTCTATATATTAGTCGGCCAATTAATTTCTTTCTATTTATAGTAGAGTCGGGGTCTTGCTCGTGAGCCACCGCGCCCAGCTTGAATGAAATATTTTTTGGTGGATGAAAAGAAAGGAGATTGGGCTGAGGCCAACAGGCCGGGCAAACAGACCTTCCCTTGGAGGTGCTGGGGGGCCCTTAGCGGGAAGAGGAACCCCAGAGGTGGGGGGGGACAGCCCGAGGGGACAGAGGCCATGGCCTGGGCCAGAGCCCTGGCGGGGAGCCCAGCCTCCTCCAGCCTCTTCTCCTTATGGCCTGGTGAAGGTGGCGGTGGCGGTGGTCGAGGGCTCCGCCTGGGAGGGGACAGGGGAAGGAAGCAGGAGGGAAGAAGGAGCCCCGTGCGCTGTCTGCCTGCGGCCCCCAAGGAATGGGCCAGAGGGTCACGGCGGGGCCCGGGGCGCCCACGGGCGCGGAGGTGAGCGGGTGTGCAGGCTAGGCACGGTCCGGAGGCTCCGCAGGGGTCAGGCGCTCCGGGGCGGCGCGACCCTCGCGGTCCCCGAGTCCCGCCCGGCGGGCCGACGGAGCCCGGTGGCGCCCCGGAGAAGCGGGGTGGTCCCGGCCGTCGGCGGCGGGCGGGGGCGCCGAAGGGGTTAAGGCACCTGGGCCGCCGCCGCCCCTGCCGGCCCCTCCTCCCGCCGCCGGGAAGAGGAAAGTCGCGGCGGGGCGCGGCCGGCCTCCGCCCCCGCCGCGCCGCCGCCGTCCAGAGCCGCGGCCCCAGAGCTGCGAGCCGCGCGCCCCGCTCCGCCGCCGGCCCGGCCGCCATGTCTCTGTGGTGAGTGGGGGCCGGCCGGGCCGGCGGGGAGGGAGACGCCCGGCGTGCGGGGCGCGCCTCAGTTTCCCGGGCCGGACGGGCTCGCGCGGCGGCGGCGGCAGGGGATGCGCGGCCGTGCGCGGTGCGCGGTGCGCGGCGGGCTGCGCGCGCTCTCCGGCCCCGGCCCCGCCGCCCCCGGGTTCCGCTCCAGGACCCCGGCGGCGCGGACTCCAGGGCTCGCCGGCAGCCGCGTCCCAACCCCACTCTGGCCGGGCTCTGGGAACCCCGGGGGCCTCCTGCGCCGGGAGACCCTCTCCCCTCCCCCGGCTCCCCTTCCCCGGAGCTCTGGCCTCCGCCTGCCCCGGCCCCTCTCCCCCGCCGGGCTTTTCTCTTGCAAATGGAGTGGGCGGGCGCAGGTGGAGCGCTCCCGCTGTCCCCGGAGGGGCACCCCGACCTTCCCGAGCCCGGCCTCCCAAACTGGGGCTATGGACCCCCCAGGGCTGGAGGGCTCAATCCAGGGTACTCAGCTCCCCTCCCTGGGAGGGTCGGGCCTTGGGTCACACCCCCAGCCCGCACCTGAGGTGACCCTGTCTTCCTCCAGCCCTATGCCCAGGAAACCTTGGGACCCCTTAGAAAAAATGCCACTCTGGGGCTCAGCTATCATTCACCCTGGATGCCTGGACCTGCCACCCGCCAGGCTGAGGCCACCCCAGGCATCTCCCTGGGCCCCCTGTCTCCCTGCCACCCCGCTCCTCCTGGCTTGGAGGTCAGCGCCATCTCCCCGATAGGCCAGCCCTGGGCCCTGGGAGGCCTCTGCTGACCTGCCTTTCCCAGGAGCTTTCAGTCCCGTCTTTACAGGGGAGACTGCAGCCCCCAGAGGGTGCACTGAGGGAGGGGTCCTGCCGGAGGCCGGCTGGGCTGGCAGTGCTCTGGGCAAAGAGCTCTAATTTCTGCTTCTGAAATGGGTGCTGCGTTGGGTACCCAGGCCAGGAGGCTCCCTGAGAGCTGGGGGCTCCTCCCAGGGCAGTAGAGCAGGGAGCTGATGTCTTTTCATGTGATGTTAAGTGGGGGCAGGGTGTTAAGGTAGCGGTGAGGGGCAGTGGTCATCTAGCAGGTGCTCACTCCATTCGTAGGCCTCTGTCAACCATATGGCAGCTTGCTGGGTGGCATGGACAGGAGGGGAGGGAAGAGGACAGGCTCAGGTCCTGAGCTGCAGTAGCTCCCCAAGGTGTTGCTGGCTGCCCCTCCCAGCCACCTTGACTCAGTCACCTAATGATTATGCTGCCTGCAGTTACTGGGGTTATACAGGGAAATGAAAGCCAGTAGGGTGCCAGGGGTGGGGATCAGGGCAAAGGTGTCCACCAGAGGTCCTCTGGGTGAGGTGATTGGTGCCCACTGCCTGATTGGTGCTTTATATAGCGCTCCAGTCCTGTGTTTTAGCCTCACTGGGGGAAGAAATCTCAGCTTGGAAAGGTCGAGACCCACTCTGAGTCATTCAGCATGTAAGTGGCAGGGCCTGATTCCACAGTGCTCTCTGAGGAGGGGGTCAGGGTGGGAGGGGAAGCAGGACCCTCCTCTGGCCACTCAGGGGCTCTGGGACTTAAATCTGTGCCTCAGGTGCACTTGCCCATCTGGGACCAGCCGGCCTCCGTAGGAGGGCAGCTAGGAGAGTCCTGGGCTCATCCTTTCATCTGTGCTGTGCCCCCTCTCCTCCCATAGGAAGAAAACCATCTACAGGAGTGTGTGCCTGGCCCTGGCCCTGCTTGTGGCCGTGACAGTGTTCCAGCGCAGTCTGACCCCCAGTCAGTTTCTGCAGGATGCCCTGCCTCCCACCCCGGAGCCACAGAAGGGCGGCGGACAGTTGCTGAACTCCAACAGCTTCTGGAAGCATCAGAAGGATGTGGCCATCCCCACTCCCACCCCTTCTCGGGGTCCCCAGGCCTGGGACGTGACTACCACTAACTGCTCAGCCAATATCAACTTGACCCACCAGTCCTGGTTCCAGGGCCTGGAGCCGCAATTCCAGCAGTTTCTCTTGTATCGCCACTGCCGGTACTTCCCCATGCTGCTGAACCACCCGGAGAAGTGCAGGGAGGATGTCTACCTGCTGGTGGTGGTCAAGTCCGTCATCACGCAGCACGACCGCCGAGAGGCCATCCGCCAGACCTGGGGCCGGGAGCAGCTGTCCGCAGGCGCCGGCCGGGGCGCGGTGCGCACGCTGTTCCTGCTGGGCACGGCCTCCAAGCAGGAGGAGCGGACCCACTACCAGCAGCTGCTGGCCTACGAGGACCGCCTCTATGGCGACATCCTGCAGTGGGACTTTCTCGACACCTTCTTCAACTTGACCCTCAAGGAGATCCACTTCCTCAAGTGGCTTGACATCTACTGCCCCCACGTGCCCTTCGTCTTCAAAGGCGACGATGATGTCTTCGTCAACCCCACCAACCTGCTCGAATTTCTGGCTGACCAGCGGCCACAGGAAAACCTGTTCGTGGGCGATGTCCTGCAGCACGCACGGCCCATCCGCAGGAAGGACAACAAATACTACATCCCCGGGGCTCTGTACAGCAAGAACAGCTACCCACCCTATGCCGGTGGTGGTGGCTTCCTCATGGCTGGTGGCCTGGCCCGGCGCCTGCACCACGCCTGTGACACCATAGAGCTCTACCCCATCGACGATGTCTTCCTGGGCATGTGCCTGGAGGTGCTGGGCGTGCATCCCACGGCCCATGAGGGCTTCAAGACCTTCGGCATCTCTCGGAACCGCAATAGCCGCATGAACAAGGAGCCGTGCTTCTTCCGCTCCATGCTCGTTGTGCACAAGCTGATGCCCCCCGAGCTGCTGGCCATGTGGGGGCTGGTGCACAGCAACCTCACCTGCTCCCGCAAGCTCCAGGTGCTCTGACACCGGCTGGGCCACCCGGACAGGCCAGGGCATGCACTTCCGAGTCCCCGAGGTATCAGGGCTGAAGCCGCGGTGCCCAGGCATAGCCTTTGGTCCCTGCGGGGAGGTGGGGGGTTGGGGCCTACGTGCCACTGGGTGTGGTGGGGTGCAGGTAGCCAGAGAGGGGCCTCCCTGTGCAGATGATTTCCAGAAATCGAGGCCCAGGAATGGTCGGAGCTGCCACCAGGAGGTCCCCCGAGAAGTGAAGACATAGGCCCTGGCGGCCCTCCTGACCTGGGTCTGTTGCCTGGCGCCTTCTGACCCAGTGTGAGGCCCTGGTGGCCTCTGAAGGAACCCTGTGCTCAGGTACCCAGGCTAGGCCCGGCCCCAGGGGTCTGGGGCTGCCCTTGTCTTCACAGGGAAGTCTCCCTCTGTGAAATGCCACAGTCTCCCCAGGGACCAGGCGGCCCTTTCAGGAGAAGCTCAACCTGTGCAGGCTCACAGGTGTCCCCTGCAGTCCATGTCCCCAAGTCTCGAGGGTACCTCAGCAGGCTCTCTGCTCCTGGGGGCTGCGCTCCTAGCTGTGTCCTCTGAGGTCTGGAAGCGCATCAGCCACTCTAACTACCTCAGTGCTCCTCAGAACCTCCACGTGGGCTACCCACCCCACCCCGACACAGGCCAAAAGAGCAGCACCCGGCCCCCGACATCCTAATGCTATCTGACCCCGGCCTGAGCCAAGGTCCCTCCTGCAGCCCTGCCAAGGCCTGGCTCCCTGACTGGACAGCAGCCAGTTTGGCCCTGGGGTGGACATTCCTCTATTACTGTGAAGTTTTATTTATGAAGAATTTGGAGGGAGAAGGCTCCAGGCCTCAGGAGGTGATGGTGTTCTCCCGGCCCACCCCTTCCTCTCCCTCACTCCGGCTGCCCCCGGCACCCGGGCCCTTGCCAGTCCTCTCCAGAGCCTGCCCCACCCGCTTCTCCAGGGTCTGACAGACCAGCATTTGCCCCGTGAAGGGATGGATCGGGGCCCCTGGGGTGGGTGCAGAAGGATGCCACCTCCTACCTCAGGCTGGAGTCACCTGGTAAGGATAGAGGGATCGACTATTTTCTCAATAAAATGGGACTGGTTTTTTTTCTGGTGTGAAACTTTCTGTTGCCAGCTCCATCAGAGGCCCTGCCTGGGGCCCAGGTCGCCAGAGGTTTCTGAGGACACAGCTTGTTCCTTGTTCTTGGCTGGTGGGTGCAAAAGGGCTCCTTGAAGGGACTGAGAGGGAGGTGAGTGCTAGGGTTACAGTGGAGACGGGGGTGCGGCAAGAGAGACCTGTGAGCTAACAGCACCTGGCTGCTGCCCGTGTCCTGGTGAACTGCTGAGCTCTGGCTCACGCGTGGGCCGATGCCTTCCCACCCCGGCCAAGGCCAGAGTTGGCCACAAGGCTGGTGTTTCAGTGGGTGGGATTCGGTGGGGTGCTGCAGGGGTTGGTGGGCTCCTGGACTTCCCTTGCAGTCAACTTGGAAGCATTGAAAACAGGCTCCCTGGCGTTGGGGGTTACTGTCCTGTGCCAGGGCCCTTGGCCTGAGCTGCTTACCTCTGGTGGGGGGTGGGCAGCTACCCCAGGATGAGAATCACTGGGGTGGCGGCGAGCAAGCCAGCAGGTCCTGCGTGCACCCAGCTCAGGGGCATCCCAGAGGTGGGTCAGGTGCATGCCCATCCTGGGCCCAGCTGCCTGGTCCAAGCCCTGGGGAAGTAGGAGGGGACGATGCTGCTACTTCCCCCTCCCCAGCACAGTCTTCCCACAGTTCCCTCTTAGTCAACATAATTAGCAGAGATCAGTGCAAAATGAAAATGCAGGAGCCTGGTTCTAAAAAGGTACTAAGAATTTTAAGATTACAATAGCAGAGCAGGAAACCAAGTGTAGGGCACTTCTGAGGGGCCCTGTTTGTTCATCACTCCATCACTCACCCACAGAAGCCAGGCCCTGCCATGGGCTACAGACAGCAGAGGGCCCTGGGGCCTCTCTTTCCCCAGAGCTCACAGTCCGGTGATGGAAGGTGAGCCAAGGGACACCCAGGAGACGGAGGTGGAAGGGCTGCTGAACACAGGGCTGGGTGGAAGCCCAGAGGCAGCAGTGGGTTCAGCTATCCCTGAAGGACCAGGCAGAGGGAACAGCTTATACAGAGGGCTGGAGGGAGGGAGGTGGGTGCATTCTGAGCTGAGAGTAGGGAAGGGAGCCTGGGTGACAGGCAGGGATATTCTCGGGCCTCCTGGGCTCAGGAGGGTGTTTGGACCTAATCCTAAGAGCAGAGGGTCCGGGGACAAGGAGCAGGGGTGCTGGGTGTGTGCGGACAATCTGAGGGCACAAAGAGACCAGTGGTCTACAGGCCCCTGCAGCCTTCCTCAGGTTCACTCCATGTGGCTCCAGCTGGGCCCAGTGGATACAAAGGTCGTTATGGAAAATTAAAGCATTTACAGTCTTGCTTCCTGGTAATGATGTAACAATTACCATTTATGGAGCATTTTTGATATGCCTGGCGCTGTGGTAAGCACTTAATATGTATAACCGGTGTAACTCAGGGTGCAAATATGGTTACATTTTAATTTTTCTCATTGATTGCTCAAATCCCTCATGTACCCTTATCAACAGAAAGATCCAAGGTTACCCTCTTGGACCCCACCCACTCTCAAACTGACCAAGAACCTCAGGGGTTTCCCTGGTCCAAAGGGTGTTTTCTAGAACTGTGGCCCCCAACCCACAGGCCACTACCTTTTAGGGACTGCAGAGCTCCGCCCGCCCCCACCTACCCACCCAACACTTGCTGTGGAAAAATTGTCTTCCATGAAACCAGCCCCTGTTGCCAAAAAGTTTGGGGACCACTGCTCTAGAAAGTCTGAGCAGTCCACCTCCAGCTGTTCCCTCTCTCTCCACACATGGCGCTGTTGAACACGAGGCCTGCACAGGCCTGTGGTTTCTTAGGTGCTACCTTTGCTGCACAGGCTGCAGTGGAGCCCATGCTTCAGAAAGGTACCCTTCTCTCAGTCACCCTCACAAGCTCAGTGATCTGTCCCCAAGAGCAGCAGCATGCTAGGGGTGCTGGGTCCTGTGGGTCCCAGCCAGCTACACAGTCTGCTAGGGAACCCACAAACTCACTCAGGTTCTCCCTGTCCTACTGAAGCAATTTTCCAGGCCTTCCCAGACAGATAATTGTAGTTAGTCCCCAGCCTGATTTGGGGCAGTAGTTTGGGAGGGATAGGTCTTAACTCTTTCCTCTTCAAAGGCCCTGGCGTTGCAAAAAGGTTGGCGTCTCCCCTGCAACCAGCTCCACATTCCAAGGGGCCCAAAAGGGGCCGTCTTTGTCAGGCTTAGAGAAGGCCTGTTCCACTCTTCCCTGGAGGCTATAGGGGCCTCCTTGGCTGCATTTACATAACTAAGGAGACCACTCAAAGAATTCCACCCTTCTCAAAGAAAGCCTGTTCTTAGGTGACTTGTTGCTCTGTGCACCTTAACTGAGAAGGAGCTGGGGGAAGCCTCCGGAATCCTGTTATACACCAATTGTAAAGAAAGAAATGGCCCCCAAGAGAAGGATCCCACGGCTATTGTGTGACAGGCATGATTTGAACTCTGTGCTCTGCGCTCCTAACTCCCACACCTTCCTGTTTCCCAAGAGCTTCCAGCCTCCCTTTTTCCTTATAGTAACTTAGCAGCAAACAGGTGTTTGTTATTTTTGTCCAAAAGCCCAGGGAATGGGGAAATGTTCCACAAGTGATTGAAATTTTGATGTTTTGGGGAGCCCAGCATTATTAGCACTGTAAGAAGTAAATTTTCCCAAATAGTTGTTTAAACTATTGTGAAGAAAAGCTTTTCTGTTCCAGTGAAACACTATGCATTGTCTAAAGCAGGGGTCCCCAACCTATGGTGACTTGTATAATTACTTCATTATATACTATAATGTAATAATAATAGAAATAAAGTGCATAATATATGTAATGCGCTTGAATCATCCCCCCTGCGCCCCCACCCCCCACCCCATCGGTGAAAAAACTGTCTTCCAAGAAAACAGTCCCAGGAGCCAAAAAGGTTGGGGACTGCTGGTCTGAAGCACAGCCCAGAGTTGTCTGCTTGCAGAGGGTTCTTTGTCCACGAGCTACTTTGCACCTCTTTTTAAGCTGCAGGTTCTGAGGGCTTTGCAATCTGTCTTGTCAGGTAGAACTTCCACTGACTCCCCTCCCCTTGGAGAAACCAGTTTGCCTCCATTTGTAATTCAATTCCATCACTCCATATAAATTTGCGCTCTTTGATACCTCCTTTGAATCGGTTATAGCATCTGCCTCGGCCCTCCTCTGAGTAGCATACCTCTAACATGTGCTCAGTTTTGTATCTGTATGCGAGTCATGAATTTACCTTTTTCTGAAAATTATCTTTTATCAATTGCATTTTATATTAAACGAGCACAGATACATTATGAAGTAGAATACAACTTTTGCACATATTTCTAATACAAAACTTGAATCTTGGAATAGACATTACTCTCACTATAGGCCAAACCATACACCTCAATCCTTCCTGGGAGGGTTCAGCGCCCCTGCCCGTCTGAAAAGCCCCCACCCCAGAGAGCTTTGAGAAAATACTTGGTCCAGGCCCCTACCTAAGCGGCTGAGTTCAAAACAGTGGGGGTGGAGCGATCCGAGGAGTGTCCGCAGCTCCCCGGGTGACCTGGGCGAGCACCCCGGCTGGGAGCAGCTGGCGGGACAGGGATTTACCGGGCCTGCGTGCAGCAGTTGACCTAGCACACGTCACCTAGCCCTTTGTTTTCCCTGGGGCTTCCGAATCCAGCAGGAATGCCCGGAATTCCTGCCCGGGTCCCAGGCCGGGCAGCCCCGCGCCCCAGCCCCCAGCCCGGCTCGGTCCGCCCCCAGCGGCTGTCGTCGCGGGCAGCCAGGAGCTGCGGAAGTGGCCTCGGGCTGTGCTGGGGACCGTCGCGCGGCCGCGGAGGGCTGGGGGTGAGCCCGGCGTGGGTGTGGGTAGCGGCATCCGCTGATCCCGGGACCTGCGGAGGCGGCCGCGCTCCGGGTGCGCCCGGCCGGCGTGGGGGTGCGCCCGGCCGGCGTGGGGGCGGGGCGCGGCGGACCCCCCCTCGACCGCTCGGAGGCGCCGGCGGGTCGGGCCCGCGGGGAGCAAAGGCGGGCAGGCGGGAGGGCGGGAGGAGTCCCGGCCTGTGCAATCCCAGGAGAGGGCAGGGAGCGCCCCCAACTGACCACCCGGGACATCGTGACACTCGGGGTGGGGTCAGGTGGGGCGACATGGTCCTGCGAAACCCGTAACCTGCAGTGCTTGTACGCGAAGGCACCCCTTAGGTGAGCCTCAGCCCAGGAACGCTCCACAGCGAACTGTTCCGGGAATCGCTCCTTGGTGCCGAGATTCCCTGGTTTCCTATTCTTTTCTTTCGGCTTATCTGTGGAAGAAAGGCTTTCGAGCACGAGCATCTGTCGCTGAGCTGAGACCTGAAGTTTAGGAGATGGAAGTGTGCCGACATCTGGACAGACAGACATCTGGACAGACAGACGTAGCACTCTCGGAGGGAGTGAGGTGGCTTTTGGTGCTGGCCAGGGTCCCTTAGGAGCCTGGATCAGGGACGAGGAATGGTCGTGTTTACTCGCCAAGGAGGTGAGTGCAGCCTTCAGGTTGACGGAAATCGCTGCAGCTGCCCACCCTCCCAGGCCGGTGAGGTCAGAACCAAGGCCGTGGACACCGGAAAACAGTTTGATGATCTTAAGTGTTGCAATCCAATCTCACAGACAAATAACAATAATGAATTTTTATAAAAGCTAATATATAAAGCCAACATTGGTTAGCATGTTTGGTTTCAAGTGACATAAAATTCAGTTCAAGCTGGTTGAAACCTTCAAGGGGATTTGCTCACTCACAGGAGTGATAGTCGGAGAATGCCAGTCCCACCCCACCCCCCAACCCCCACCTGGTCCCACTCAGTGGCTGATCCTGGACAGAAACTTAGAACAGCCACCCACTGACCTGAGCCACCTGGCTGGGAAGAGATGGCTAAGAATGTTCTCGGGCAGCCTGGCCACAAAAGCTGCACGTCAACCACCACACAGAACACCTGTTAGCATCTGGAGGACT